CAATATTTTGCTCTGGGTCCCCATGATTCCTAGTTTTGCCTGCTTAAGAAGTGCAAAGATTAAACAAGCAGAATCCACTGATAGGAGATGCTTTCAATCTATATTAACTTCCTCGAGCTGTGGCTGCCCCTTGCTGGGAGACAGTAACTTTGTCATTAATCCAGCTCAGAGCGAAGCACGAGCTGCACTTTACACATATTAAGCTTCCAACTGTGACATACAGCGAGGAAGTGAGTGACAGGAGGAGAGAGCTGAGGCTGGGCTCACTGGCTGGAGTGGGCAGATACCTAGAGCAGCATTGCACGCTGGCTGCTGGATAAGGAAACAGTCTCTGCTGTGGGTGAAGAAGATGGTTATATGAGAAGTTCCTTAGACTGCCAGGGACGAGCTATCACTGAAGAGACTGTAGCAATTTCTGCTGTGACTGAAGAAGACACACTACCCCTGGCACCTGAGCCTGTGCCTACAACCAGATCACCTTAAATCTTTACCTTGCTGTGACTATAAAAGATCCCTTTGGACTGGCATAGCTCTCTGTGGCACCTAAGTCTCTAGTTGGAGCAAGATTCTGGATATTAATATAGGAGACTCTCTTTGGCCATTCTACATTTAGCAGACGTCCTAGACCTGGGTTAGGTCTCAATGGCACCTTGGACACTTGATACCCAAAGATCCTACGGAGAAGACTTTCACTAGCAATTTCATGTGGCACTTAGGTCTGCTTTTACAACCAGGTTAGGTAAGATCAATCCCCAGACAGGACTACAGAAGACTTGCCAGGACTGGCACAAATCTCCCTGACACCTGTGGGTACATCCAAACCTTTGAGACCAATTTTACCAATTTGACAATTGACTACAGAAGACTTGCCACGACTGGCACAAATCTCCCTGACACCTGTGGGTACATCCGAATCTTGGAGACCAATTTTGCTCCGGGACAACTTTCCACAGCACAGCAGCCTCCATCTGTAACCAGGCGACTTCATATCTGTAATTTTAGATGTCCCACCTGGCACCAATGTCAACGGCTACCACCAGATCTTGAATACTGGAGGTCCACCAGCTTGGCACGGTTGTCCATGGCAACTCAGACTGCGGCCACCCGCAGGGTTCTTACGTTTTCTGCCCAGCTGTGAAGATAAGAGGCGCTTTCGCATTGGTCATTTTTTTCCATGGCACCACCTGACATTGTGACTACTACAAGACTCTCGCCCAACACTCGAGACCTGTGACATCTCATGTGATGCCTGTGGATTTCATTCAGAAGCAGCAAATGCCAGGAAGATGACTTTGTGCCCTGGACTTCTAAAGTGCAGCCAAGACTCAACGCTGATCAGCAGAGGTAACATAGCATGAACGTGTAGGCTGACAAATGTAGGTTATCCGTCCATTTGCCATGCTTGGCTGCTCCCTTACGTAACATATATACATTAAGTTACATAAACATGCAAGCTTGGCTCTTGTTTCTGGGCGAAGGGGAGGGGGGGGGAGCATCACAAGCAGTTAACGCGCAGATTAACCCCTGAGCTGCTGTAGCCCTGCAGTTTTTCTTGGGTTTTTGCAGCCGTGATGTAGTTGCCAATATTTTAAAATAAACTTCTAAGGGGCATCTATCTGATGCATTATATACGTCTCATTTCTGGCTTGGAATAGCAAAGATCACTTTACCGTATAGCTGCAAACATGATTTCAGGAACCCATAGCCGATTAAGCTCCATCCTTTCTCCTTTAGCTTACTATAATACTATATAAGTGTCACAACGCGCAAAATTTTAATTATTTTTATAACTCAATTAAATCCTAAAATATTTGGACATGTTAAATGCCTCCCCTTTAGAAACATTAACTTAGAAATTCAACACATATTGAATAGAGAGCAGGAATGGGATGCGACATTTAAAAATTAGCTTTTTCCTGAAGCTCATTAATGTTTAATACCAGAAACATTTGAAGGAGCAGAAATTTGCATGGGGCAAATCTCAAAATGTAAGCTTTTACATCCGAGGGGAGAAATGCCCCCCCTCCCCATGTTGAATGCCTTCTCTTTAGAAACATTAACTTAGAAATTCAAGACATATTGAATAGAGAGCAGGAATGGGATGCGACATTTAAAAATTAGCTTTTTTCTGAAGTTTATTAATGTTTAATACCAGAAACATTTAAAGGAGCAGAAATTTGCATGGGGCAAATGTCTAATTATGGGAATTTTATTATCTTTGGGTAGTAGCACCCATATGCATTGATATGCTTATCTTGGCTTAAAAGCTTTTAGAACTTGAATGGAACTTGAGGATGAATTTTATCATACAGAGAAAGAGTATGTAACATTGCTAAAACAATGGACCATAAAAGAATTCTGGGGCAAATCTTTAAAAAGGTGAGATTGTTCCAGATTGCGGGAATTCCGAGACAGTTGGCAACTATGCCCAGTGACTTCATAAGAAGTCATGATAAGAACCTAATCCATAGTCCTACCCCGTTCTGTTCAAATCAAGTCCAGGCGAACATGCTGCTGGCTTTGCTTGCTGTTTGCTGATTTGCACTATTTTCCAGATTGCCCTTTAATTTTTCATCAGGCAGGAAACCCTGTTTAAGACCTGCTGAACCTGCCTTAACTGTTGTATATAGTCTAGGGAGCTGTGTTCTGGTGCACAGAGATTTTGAATATTGCTTGTGATGACAAATGGGAGCAAGAAAATGTGCTTGAAAGTCTGAAGAAAGCACCTAAGGGAGAAGTAAATCTCATTAAGGCATGTTTGTTTGAATGCTCCTAGAAGGGAAATAAGGCAATGTCAATAGTGTGGAGGACAGGTAATTAATGATAATGTCCATGAAATATTAATGATGGACATATGTGTGAGCTCCTCCAGCTCTTCTCAATGCACCTAGTAGATTTGGTTTGAGTGTCAGTACTCAGAACAATACTCTTGTCTTCTTCAGGAGAGCAACGGAACATCTTGGCTAGCTTGGAATCTGTGAGGACCTCAGGAAGAGGGGATGTTGATACAGGTCCAGCCAACTCAGTTGTCATCCGTCCATCACTCTTCACACAGTGCAGAGTCACCCTGTCCCCCTCAACACCTTCTCCCACCTGCATTCATGACTGACAGACCCTTATCTTCTACTGAACAAGACTTGGTCACTCTCACAAATCAAACCAACGCCACCAATTGCGGAGAGGACATTTTGCTCTATGGGGACATCGAAAAGATCGTCATTGGCGTGGTCCTGTCAATCATCACTGTGTTCACCATTGCTGGCAATGGTCTGGTCATTATCTCAGTGTGCATTGTGAAGAAGCTACGGCAACCTTCCAATTACTTGGTGGTGTCCTTGGCAGCAGCAGACCTGTCGGTGGCCATCGCGGTGATGCCCTTTGTCATCATCACTGACCTGGTCGGTGGAAAATGGCTCTTTGGGAAAGTGTTCTGCAATGTTTTTATAGCCATGGACGTCATGTGCTGTACAGCATCAATTATGACCTTGTGCGTCATCAGTGTAGACAGGTAAGAGATGGGGCATCCTTGGAATCATATGATTGGCTGGTGTTTTTAAGGGACGTGTATGGTGTGAGGGTGGCATTGTTTTAAATATATGGGAAAAGCTATTAGTCTATGATAGTGGTGAAATGGTAGGTCAGTGGGAACCCAAGAGGACCTCATAGCTTTTTATGACTTGGTGTCTAAGCCTAAAGCCCGATTATAGTTTCAGTTTACATTAGCTAAATAATTTCCAGGTGCATCAAATCAAAAGGTGCTCAGATTTTTACAGTTCTTAGGGGGCGTGTTAAACCTCTGCAGAGAGACCTCTGCTTCCACACAGCAGGTAGGTTATTTTAAAAATGTCAGCAAAGGCTCCTTTAGAAATGTTTAGCAATGACAATCTACAAGCAGATACTTCTAGATAATTGCCGGCTTTTTATTCTTTGCATACCTTGTTTTTATTTTCTTCCCCATTCATCTCATGGTGGCCCTTTTCACTACGAGCAGATTATTCCATCTTCCTTTATTTACTGGATTTCTGGATCTGTCTCCTGTAACATGTGACATCATCTGAGGTTGGGAAAATAATCTCATGAGATTTTGCAGTTTACAGATGAGAGTTCCCAGGAGGACACTGGTGATATAGCCTTCCCAGGATGCATCTGTGAGGCCAGGGCTACATCACCAGTGCCTCACTCAACCAGGAAATGAAAAAACAGTAAATGTAAGTAAACGCAAAATATAAGTGTTTAACTAATGAATATAAAATGATTTCCTATCGGCATGCAGAGCTTTATTCTGATGTGATTTTTAGAGAAAGGGGGTAAAGGTCCATCGTAAGACTTAAAATAACTTATGCACCTATAATGTATTTAGCTGTTCAAAACTGTTGAAAGCTGTTCACTTGGGCTTTAATGTGTGTCTGGGACCTAAGAAAAGGTTGGTTTCTAACAGAATGCTACAAAAATGGCACGTCTTGGATTGTGAATACTATCGGAACCATATTTGTTGCACTTAGTGTTTACAGATTATAACTCTTGGGCAGGGGCGTTCCTAGCCATTTTACTACTTTGGCGGGAGGGGAACGTGGCTTCTGCATTATCTCCCAGCCCAGCTCTGGCTCCAGCTCTGGCCCTATGTAACTGGTTGGCAGGAACTGGGCAGGACGCCGGCCATAGCATCCCAGGTTGCTAAGAGCTGGGCGGGGAAATGTGTATGGTCCTTACACATCTCCCCACCCAGCTCTTAGCAACCTGAGAGCCTCTTGCCAGAAATGGGGCGGCACAAACATTGTGCCAAGCCACTCCCCCCATGTGACCCAAAGAGATGCCACCTGAGACAAAAGCCTCCGGCTGCCGCATTATAGGGACAGCCCTGCTCTTAGGTAAGAATCAGGTATGAATCAGGTACAGGTCAGGTAGAATTCCTAGCCAACAGTACACTTTAGTCTTTAGCATCGGCCTTCTTTATGTGCCTATCAATGTTTAGGCTCCTCCAGGTTTCATGGGCCAGATTAATAATCTCAAGAGTCGGAAATGCTCCTAACTACTAGAACCAGAGGATGAGACTGAGACATAAGTTTTGGAAAATAGGGACATAAAAAAGTTTTCTTTATTTTTAAAAAAGATCATGAATAAAATTGATATAGAAAAATAGGAAGATATTAATTATAAATGTTATAAAGGATCAGTATAATAAGAACAGAAATAAATGCAAACAAGAATAAGAAGGGACCGGGAAATATATTTACTATTTATCAATTCAAATAAAAAGAAACACAACTTTCTTAGCAAAAATGTATTTAAGTATCAAGGAACATTAAATTTTAGAGGACGATAGCCTGGATCGGATAGAAAAAAATAGGAAAATAGAGAAAAAGAGAAAAGAAAGACTGAAGGGTAGAATGAAGGGAATGAAGGGAATGGAGATCAGAAAGGAACATGGAGAGACAAATTAATAATAATTTGTAACGGTAACTGGCATCTCCTGATACAATGTTTTGGGTGCAAAAGATTAAATAACAATTATAGAAAACTAGGAATAATGGTTTTAATACAAAGTTAATAAAAATTATATTTTATAAACTCTGATAGGGATGAGGTACAAAGGACAATGTGCACCATGAACGTTGTATGTCTTGGAAAGATTGGAAACCCCAGATATGGAAAAAGATCTCCTGAAATGTAATGAGACATACTGTAAGTTAGAGCCACCAGTGGCACCAGCAGGGGAGAACTGGGCCAGGGGTCAAAGGGTTATATAACCCCAAGGTCAGTACAAATAATGTATATTGGACTGGTTGGTGTTATTTTTAGAGAACAGAGGTCATCTTGTTCAGCTCATAGAATACTTAATTGTTTGCAATTCATCCTTTATAATCCCTTTTTAATTCATAACTATATTCATTTTTCAGCATGTCCAGCAATAAGACCAGCATTGGATCCCACATGCAGTGCACCTTTTTTTTGGCCCTCTGGAAGCTACATTGCCATGAAATGGCCAGTTGGTCATTTTTGCCCACCAGTAAACTAGATAAGCCAACATTTAGAGTCAGGCAAAAGCACAACCAGAAAATCAGTCAAACTAGGTTGTTGGAACCCAAATAAAAGACAACACCTGGGGCCTAAACAGGCTACGGTGAAGGTGGCCAAAGTCTGGGGTCTAGTCAGATGTCTGGAACTAGCACTGCATTAGACATGTAAGCTGCTGAGAAATTTGGTTTGGTTAGGATATATTTTGTTATTTCCGAATTCGGGATTCGGATCCGAAATTCAATTCGATTCAGGTTTTGGATTCGGCCGAAATCCAAATTTTCGTTAGTTTCAGATGAGTTTACGAATATTTGTTGTGAATACCACAGAAAACTATATACAGATATTAATACTAAAGCTGAATCCCCTAGACCCGAATGGCATTCGGGATCTGAATTTCTGAATTGCATTCGGGAGCTCCGGAATGCCATTCGGGTCTGGGAGCTAAATACATATATTACTAAAGCTGAGGCTCCCAGACCCGAATGGCATTCGGGATCTGAATTTCTGAATTGCATTCGGGAGCTCCGGAATGCCATTCGGGTCTGGGAGCTAAATACATATATTACTAAAGCTGAGGCTCCCAGACCCGAATGGCATTCCGGAGCTCCCGAATGCAATTCAGAAATTCAGATCCCGAATGCCATTCGGGTCTAGGGGATTCAGCTTTAGTATTATATATATATATACTGTGTATGGCTCCCATGTTGCCGTAACAAAAATTTGTACTCAGACCCATTTGGATGCATTAAACCGAAAAACGCATCTGATTGGCCAGAAAAGTCACATGTCCGATTCAGTTTAGTTTTTGAATGAAATTCGGACGGAATGGAAATTTGGATTCAGACACATTCGGATGCATTGGGATTCGTAAATTCGGATGTGTCCGAATTTCGGAATATTCGTCCGAATTTTGATTTGGAACGAAATGAATCGCACATGTCTACATTGCTCCAAAAAGAGACATCTGGAATGATTGGTGGGCAATAGGTGAATAGATGGGTTTTCCTTAAATAGTAAGATTTTAGCATGTTTAACCCACATGGTCATGAATTCCAGCTACTCAGATGAATACCTAATGGTATAAAACGAGTGGGATAAGCAGTCAGATGCACCTCTAATACCTTGGCAACACAATCTTTCTTATTTTCAGATCCCTAGATTAGGGTTCTGTTAAATAAGAGCCATTCTTCTATGTTTTAAGAAGAACCACCTCTGTTTGGGATCTACAAATAATGGCCAGCAGTATAGATCTAGACACATGACATTCATTCTACAATGTTTTAAGAGTCACTACCTCTCTTTGTGGTCCACTAATGCAAATAGTTTAGACCAAGACACATGCTAAAATAATTTTTAAACCCTCAACATTGAAAAGCATTAGCACTTTGGATCTGCTGTCCCACAAGTAGGACATCCACAGACAATTAATTTATGCTTGTCAAGCACGATGGTCTTATAGATCCATCACACACCACCAGGATCTAGCACAGTCTTCAGCTCAGCTTAAGTGACAAATGGCTGTGGTCCATAAATAAGAAACATCTATTCCCTGTTCCCTGCTACTTACAAAAACAAGCCATTATAATGCATGGAAGACCTCATTATCATTCCCTTTTTGACCATGAATGTACATTATTGCATGCTAAAAGCACACATAAAGTATGCATGTTAAAAATGCTAATTTCTGCATGTGCATGGGGTGAAAGGCCCTATTACTTTTGAATCTGAATGTGCACGAAGTCAGTAATGATGAGCCTTGTAGGGAAATTTTTTTCTATCTACCTTCATGCTGTCCATTACTTCAAACAAATGACTTATACAAAATAGTGTCTCAAAATTACTCAAAAAATAGGGCATGACGTAGTAATAAATTGTATTGCTGAAATGTCTAAAATGCAGCTTTTACGTGATTCAGTGCTTTGTTTATACTGGTCAGTAATGGGTTGAATGTGCAAGTTGGTGTGATGTAAATTCTGTACTTCCTTGTGCTCTCCTTTGCGCTCCAATCTGTCTCCATGCTGCCAATTGACTAGGGCATGGCCAACTCTGGTTCTGGTACCCAGGCACAGAGCACTGCATTGTGGGTAGGCAGGAGGAGTGTCACATGTTCCTTCATAGCAGGAAGCACCGGGTAATTCCTAGGCAGCCTGGTGGCAAAGAGAATGGTTGGGTACACCTGTTATTAGAGAAAAACAAGGAATGCCATCACTGGATTTCAGTACTTTAGATCAGGCAACCTCAGCACTCCAGCTGTGGTGAAGCTAATATTCCCACCATGCATCTGCCTCTGGGAATCATGGCCGTGGCTGTCTTGCAATGCCTTGTGGGTCTTGTAGGTCATTAACAGCTGGAGTGCCAAGGTTGGCCACCTCTGCTTTAAAGTCACACACCCGGAACAAGCATGCTGTTAACAAGTGTCAAATAAGAGTCAGAATTTATATATCTATCCTTGTTCCTGGTCAGTGGTCCAAAAAGCATCAAGCCAAAGCA